TGGGGAGAAGGTGCAGCACCCGGGGCTGGCGCAGGCTGCAGACCCTCTCCAGGCACGTCAAAGCTGAGACGGGTGCTGGGACGGGAGAGCGCCTTGTGTAAAAAAACCAGAAACTCAAAGCGTGAGCTATCCCACTCCAAACCTCAAACAGTGTCGCAGATCATCCCTCGCCCCGCTGAAGTTCTCCCTCTCCCCTCAGGTGCCTCGATGGAAGGGGAGAGGGGGAGCAAACACCGTTGCCCCCATCCCAGCTCCTCGCACAGCTGAAAAAACCAGTCTCGCCCGGCTCGCTCTGCCCTCTGGTAGCTGCTGGATTTCCAGCAAGGTGCTATTTCTGCACGGTGCCTCGCTCTTCTGCGCCGGCCTTGGGCAGGGGCACGGCCAGGGGGGTGAGGAGAGGGTAGGGGGTCACCAGAGCCCACCCTGGCTCCGCCGGCATCCCTGGCGCTACACGGGCAAAGCCGTATGCGAGTCATTCGTGTCCCTCCTTGGCCAGCCTGGAAAATCACCAGGGTTGGAGCATGGGCAGAGCCCGGGCAAGGGGTCTGCACGGGCTGGAGTGGCCTGGGAAGGGCAGAGCCCTGAGGGGGGCCGTTTCTGGCCACCCAGGCTCAGGTTCTGATAGCTCCAGCTGAAGGCTTTGACCTGAAGGCTTGAAGGCAAAGGCTTGGTCTGAGACCAAGCCGTCACCCATGGGCTACGGAGAGAGGGGGGCTCTTCTGGAGGTAGCTGGAGACCTCCAGCCCCACTGCCAGAGACCCCCGAGCGACGAGACGAAGCCCTTGCCAAGCATTCGCCCCGAATGGCACGCTCCAGCACTGGCTCCGGGGCACGGCCGAGGAGAGGACCGAAAATCCGCCACCGGATTTCATCTTCTGGTAAGGGATTTCATCCGTTGGTAGCGGTGGTGAGGTGGGGGGACAACAAGGGTTCACTCGCTTCTCGGGTTCATCACCCACATGTGGGCCTGCCCGCGAGCCAGCTAGCACGGCGGGGAGACCCGAGGCCATCGCATGGCAGGAGGAGACAGCGGCGATGCCGAAAGTGGGAAAGAAAACGATGAAGAGGAGACGGCGGCAATGCCGAAAGCAGAGAAGAAGGCGACGAGGAGGAGATGGCGGCAATGATGAAAGCAGGGAAGAAGATGACGAAGAGGAGATGGCAGCAATGCCAAAAGCGGGGAAGAAGACAATGAGGAGAAGACAGCGGTGATGCCGAAATCAGGGAAGAAGACAATGGAGAGGAGATGGTGGTGATGCCAAAAGCGGGGAAGAAGATGATGAAGAGGAGACGGCGGCGATGCTGGAAGTGGGGAAGAAGACAATGAGGAGGAGATGGTGGTGATGCCGAAAGCGGGGCAGAAGGTGACGAGGAGGAGATGGTGGTGATGCCGAAAGCGGGGCAGAAGGTGACGGGGAGGAGATGGTGGTGATGCCGAAAGCGGGGCAGAAGGTGACGGGGAGGAGATGGTGGTGATGCCGAAAGCGGGGCAGAAGGTGACGGGGAGGAGATGGTGGTGATGCCGAAAGCGGAGCAGAAGGAGACGAGGAGGCGATGGCGGGG